TTTGGTTTGTCCCCATCGCCGCCGCCCCGCGAGCTGGGAACACAGTGTCCCGGCAAGAGGAGAAAGGCAGAACAAATGTTGGCAGCCGTGTCTCAAGGGCACGGGGACACTCAAGGTGCTGCAGCTGCAACTCCCTGGGCTGGGCCCACTCTCCTGTGCCCCCCGAGCGGGGCGAAGGCCTTGGCTCAGTGCGGGTGCGTCTACACGGCACCGTAATGTATCTTATTTCGAAATCGCTTCTTTCCTCATTTCCACAGCAGCACGTTTTGAAGTAGAGCGCTGGTCAGAAACGTGCCCGGCTCCTCCTGGGCTGAGGTTTGCAGGGATGTTGGCATAGCGAGCGCTGGGAAGACACTGAATAGCTATTTCAGGATACTCGGGTACCCATAGCGCTGCAGTGTAGACGTCCGGGTACTGTACTGGTCTCAGTTCCAGGCCACCCCCAGGGGCCGGAGTGCCAAGCCTGTCTCTATGGCGCCTTCAGCCTCTTCAGCGCTGCTCAGCTCCAGGACAAGCAGCCATTGCCTGTGGGAACCAGCAGCCCAAAGGAAGGGCCCCTGAAGCCCCAGGAACCCAACACTGACTGTCATTTCACACGGGCCTGCAAGGCAGGAGTATTCTAATAACCATCCTAGCTGGAACTGCAGCCTAGTGCTAGCCCCTGTACAAACGCTTCAGAAGCACTTGGAGAGATTACAGTTAAAGTGGAGAAGACAGAATTATTTCCAGCATTTTGCAGATGGGGACTTGAGGCACAGAGAGATTGACTCTTGTGCCAAAGATCATACAGCGAGTCTGGAGCAGCTCTGGGACCTAATCTAAATCCTAGTGCAGTGTTTTAACCATAAACAGATCTTTCCTCTCAAAAAGCATTGCCTTCTAATCCCAGCTGGGGGAAACATCTAGCTAGAAGCAGGCAGATTTGGATTTGGGGACTCACTAGGTTTACACTTTGTACCTTACAGAGCACAGCTATGCAGCCACAGCCATGCCACTGTAAGGTACACTGTGTAGCTGGTGTTTTTCAGCAGAGCTTTCTGGCCAAGAAAATAAAACTGTGCCCAATGAGGTGTGGTAGCATTTCCTGCCAACAAAGCGCTGTCCACACCAACACTTTTCATCATAAAACTTTTGTTTGTCAGGAGCGTGGATTTGTTACACAAAAAAGTTTTACTGACAAAAATGCAATGTAGACAAGCCTTAGATACCATTTGCAGCTTTACCACTAAGGCCTTCTCTAGACAGGAAAGTTTTTTTCATTATATTCCAAGGTGTGAATTTAAATTTATATAGCTATGTGGGTATAATTCTTGGTGTTGACACTATTATACTGCTGCCTGTTTTTCAATTTAGTTTATATCTGTGAAGGATTTAAGCTCTACAGGAAAATGCCTCTTACACTAGGGATGTTAAATATTGGTTAATTGAATAGTCGATTAAAATTAACCTCCTGAATTCTTATCAGTTACTCCACTATTCTATAATCCCCAGGGGTGGGGCCAGTAACCAGAGCGCTCCAGCCCCACTCCCAAGGAGACTCCTCCACTACGGGTGCCAGCAAGGCCAGCCCAAGCCATTCGTGCGCTCTGGGCCCTGGGAGCACGGTGCTGCCCCCAGGAGTGCGGTGCATGTGCGGCCCCACCCCTGGGCACGCGGTGCTCCTGGGCACCCGGCGCATGCACGGCCCCTCCCTGGCCCGGTCCGGCAGCCCCGCGCGGCGCTCCCTACAATGGGGCACCCCGGGCGGTAGCCCGGTCAGCCCGTAGCTCAGGACGGCTCTGGGTGCCAGGCGGGAGCTGGTCCATGAAGGGAGCCAGTTTAAAAGCCAGCTCCCCTAGTAGACTGGATGCCTGTCGCCCTGCACTGCTGCTCTTGATACAGAGGCAGTGGCGTGGGGAGGCAGCAGCCCCTGTCCAGGGGTGGGGCTGAGCTACCAGACCTGGCACAAGCTGGAACTGAGCTGGGCTGCCTGCCTGCCTGGCTCCTAATACACTTTAAATGCAGAGCTGCAACAGTGGTAGGTCCCATACCAGGCGTGAGCCAGGACTGAGCCGGGCTGCTGGCCAGCCTGCTAAAAAATTTACTGGCAGGGGTGTGGGGTGGAGGATGTGTATAGTCCATAGCATTAACTCATAAGTTTTTGCTTATTGGTTAATCGACTACACTATTACATCCCTATCTTACATCATGAGCTTGTCCCCACCAGGGAAAGGTGATGGAAACATTACACCTGTATAACTATATTGTTATAATCAGTAGAGCTTTCCTACATAGACAAACCCTAACTCACCAGGCTATGTCTACAGAGTTTTTTCAGAAAAACGGCCATTTTTCTGACAAAATTTCACTTACATCCACACTGCAATCACGTTCTTTTGGAAAAAAATCGAAAGAACAGAGGAGTTTTTCTGACATTGGTAAACCTTTTCCTACGAGGAAGAATGCCTTTTCCGAAAGAGCTCTTTCAGAAAAAGGCGCGTGTGGACAGGGAAGAGGGAGTTCTTTCGCAAGAAGAGGAAAGAGGAAAAAGCACGGGTGCCCTGGTAGCCACTCCATCCATAGTAATCTCAGCTGAAATGTGAGATAGCATCCATTCAGTGTGGACGCTCTCTTTTGAAAAAGCAGATAGTTTTTTCTGTGCACTTTGGTAATATGGACGCTCTCTTTCAGAAGAGTTTTTTTCGGAAGATCTCTTCTGGAAAAGCTTCTTCCGAAAGAAGTCTGTAGTCTAGGCATAGCCCAGGGCTTTGAGCAAAACCCTCATTCTCTCTGTACCTCAGTTTCCCCATCTATCTAATCTTCTCTTCCTAGGAAGCTGTGAGGGTTAACAAGTTACTGTTTATGTCTCACTAGGAGTTCTGTCATAGCTGAGAATAATGAGGGTCATTGCAAAACACACCAGGTTTTGGGATACAAAAAAATCATTCATGAAGGAAATTTCAAGTACTCTGGAATTTCTTCCTTCAGTGAAAACACAGCTGTCTACACAGCATCATTATTTCAGAATAACTGACATTATTCCGAAATAACAAAGAACGTGTCTACACTACAAGCCATTATTTCAAAATAATGTCAATCTGGAAGACTTCTCATTCCGAGTCATAGTATCCCTCATTTCACAAGATGTAAGGGAAGTTGAAGGAAGGGTGCTCTTCCTTTGACTTCCTGCTATGTAGACAGCACCAAAAGCTGAAGTAAGATATTTCAACTTAAGCTACGCAATTGATATAGCTCAAGTTGTGTAGCTTAATTCAATGTTAGCTCTGCTGCGTAGACATGCCCTTTCTATAATCCCAGTTTTGTGTGTTTGGATTTCTCATGTATTCCACTTTGTTTCTGACAACAGAAGTGAAGGGACATGAAATTTGTATGGAAAGGAGATTCTTTGGGAACTATAATGAGCAGGGCTTGTCGAGCTGTGGTGAGCCCTGCTCTCCAGCTGCGCTGTCCAGCATTCTTCGCATGTGCAGATCGTTCTGCGCATGCGCAGATCACCAGAACCCGGCTTTTCTGAGTTGTAATCTACTCCCCACGGGCGAGTAGATTACAACGATTGTCAAGCCCTGATAATGAGTACTGTTCAGAGAAACAAACATTGAAAAGGTATGACAGTGAGGGCTGGGGCTTGTGTGTACAGTATTTAGTGCTGCTGAAAGGTGTTGGTGTGGCAATGCTGATGAATGAAATTCTACGGTAATCTTAAAGGAAGCATCGGGGATGATTTTCTTTAGGGGTAATAGGCATAGTTCCGCCTCTGTTACTGACACGGGCATTCCCAGAATTGCACCCAGCTCCCATGTACATAGCAGTCCCATTTGTGTTTGGTTATTCAGAGGTTTTTGTTGTGTCCCATCAGCTAGGTTACATCTACACTATGAGTTTTCTCAGCAAAAAATATACTAATGAGGGGCTCATTTGCATGAGTCACGATATCATTTGCATATTTTCTGCTGATCTGTTTTTGCGCTGGGGTTTTTGTGCAAAAACAAGCACTGAGGACTTTTTCTTTTTGCGCAAAGACCCCTTTTTCCTCAAGATCCTTATGCCCCAGAAAAGGAGGGTCTCAATCCCATGTCATTTTTGGTCCCCAAAATGAACAGGGGATGGAGACCAATATTAGATCCCAGACATCTAAGTAACTTTGTGAAACACAGATATTCAGGGTGATGACCCTTGTAGCTATAATTCCTTCCCTATGGTCTGGAGCTTTGTCTGTGCCTCTCAACCTTTAGGACATATATTTTTATGTCATGAATCTTCCTTCTTTACAAGAGATTTCTGTGTTTTGCCATTGACCAGGATCACTTTTAGTACTGCGGCTCCTGTTTGGCATCTCCTGTGCCCCAAGGACATTCTCACAGATCATGTCAGTC